CCTGCCACGGCCTGGGCAGCACAGGTGGAAATAGGTTACACAGGACGAGCTACCCGATACAGCACAAGGCAGGTCCTGCTCAGGCCGGAATATCAGGAAGCAGACGACATTGTATAGTATACGACAGGTGGGGAGCTGCGTCAGCATCCGTAGGCTGCAAAGGAACAAGTCATAGGTTTATTCCACGCTGAAAAAAGAAGAAAGAAAACAACGTTTCGGCCGTGGAGCCTTCTTCAGGTGTCAGTATAGTATACGACAGCTCAGTTCTTCATCTTTTATCAGCCAGCTGGGCCACAGTGGGTCTGCCGTCAACAGCGAATCCGTGTTCGTTCTAACTACCAATCCGCATCTTTAAAACCCCATTTCTTAGACACACGCTTTGAAGTTAATAGAACAGACCCTGAGAAAATACATATCACCACCACTACTTCAAATATATTAAAAATAGGCATTATACATCATGCATCTTAAATCCTACACCGTGATTTGTTTTTAATTGCTTCGCAAGACCTTGTCATTTAAACGCCAGAAGACACGGTTAAGAGCTGCCGGGTTCTCATCAGAAAGGCGATTTTACTGAAACCGCATCGTGACCCCTGGAGTCCGGCGGCGCGACTCCCGGTCTCTCACGAACGGAACCGGCCGAAGCGCCGGTTTACAGACCCGGCCAGCTGGCAAGGACGAGTCTCAGCGCCAATACGTAGAAGCGAAACGAATGGAAAACACACGGGCAGTGTCCACTGGGACGAGTCTGCGGGCTGGCCAGGGCAGACAGGGGACACGGGGGAACGGAACCGGCCTGAGTCCGCCAGGCCTCCAGCTCAGGCCGGCTGGAAACAATGGGGAGAGACCCGATTCGCGCTGAACACGCACTGCGAATGGAAATACATGGAAACAAAGACTAGCAATACAGCTGAACAAAGCGAAGACAATTTACCGAGGAGCCTTTCGAAGGTGCCTGCTCCCTTGCCCATGGCTAGCTTCTGGCTGCTGGCTGCTTTCGGAAACGCAGTTCTTTAGATTCAGCTCCGTCTAGTCTCCTGGTTCTCTGGCCCTCCCTCCGCTTCCTGCTTCCCTCCCATAGAGACCACACCCGGAACTAGCGCGGCTGCCCGCTTCAGCGCCCTCTTCTGGCCACCTCCTGTCACTGGGCCACTCGAGTTTCCTAGCTTGGCCTTTCATAATCATTAATAACTCCTTACACTTATATAGCGCTTTTCTGGACACTCCACTCAAAGCGCTTTACAGGTAATGGGGACTCCCCTCCACCACCACCAG